TATATACACATATATACACACATAAATTTATACATATATATATACATACATATAAATACATACACATATTTATTCATATACATACATACATATATGTATATTAATATATATTTATAAATATACGTAAATCAATAAAACATACGCAACATGTGCACACTCACACACTCGCACATATGTATATATATATATAAATATACATATACACACAAACACACACACACACACAAACAAACAAACATATATATATATATATATATATATTTATATAAATATTGACGCTGACAGGCAGGGGCGACTTTTTAAAACTATATATTTTCATCGCTGATATTCTGTACATATTAAAGCGCTAAATATTAGATTCAGACATAGATACACACACACACACACATATATATATATACATATACATATACGTACACACACACACGCACGCACACACACACACACACATATATATATATATATATATATATACATATATATATATATATACGTAAATACTAGTGCAAGTATAAAAATACATGTATAATAATGAGTAATGGCATATATTAGAAGGAAGAATAGACTCAGACAAATACATAGATCTGAATTATATGCAGGATAACCATTTGACGATATCGTACACCAAGTGTACACAAAGGGCATACGAAAGTACAATACCTTGTTATTCTTTAGGAACACAACTGTGGGCACTGCGGTGATATCGTACTCCTCTGAGATCTCGCTGAGTTCTTCGGCATCGATCTTAATCATTGTGACATGAGGGTATTTCTTAGCTGCAGTTTCCAGTACTTCGTTCATGTATACACTAGCCTTAGCCCAGGGCGCCCAGAAGTGTACACAAGTAAGACCGCCGGGATGCTCTTTCACGGTGGTGTTGAATGTAGCCTCATCCTCACATGAGATTACGGTACCTGGTGCAGACATCATAGTTGCAACTAAAGATTAATATTCTACGGTCTAGGTGTTCAGAAGTCTTTCAGTCTCGTATCATAAACAAGGAGCTGATAGTTCAATATATATATAAATATATACATATATCTATACGGACACGTATCCGTGCCGATATAAAAATAAATAGCATGTACCGCGCGTACACATTTTGCTGCAGGACCCTATGACGCGATACATTTCCAACACCTTTTCATGGTCGCTGTCACAAATTATATTTACGTTCTAATTTCATGCTAATTTGCCTGATGATCCTTATCGATCAGGATAATTTACGACAAATCTGTGTCTGTCACGTGTACGATAGTCGAACTAAATATGAATATCATATTTTGTGTTTCTGTACAGGCGCTTCTTTACGGATGGTAACTATGCCACAATCGCCCGGTTTAGCATTTACAATCATTATAGAAGTTCGACTCGGCTTGCATATATACACATACAAACACCTACACATATAGATATAGGTACCCACATATACACATACTCGTTGAATCATGGCGAAAGCAGGGCAGAGAAAAAAGAAGCGCACACACGTAGTCTCAGCTGAGAAGAATGTACCTAGATCATTTGTAATTCACACAGGCACAGTGTCGCAGCCCGTAGAACAATTAGAAAGAGATGTTCGGTCAGTGATGGAGCCATACACAGCAACCTCGCTTAAGGTCAGCAAAAAGAATGTGATCAAGGATTTTGTATCAATCGCTGGACCCATGGGAGTCACACACTTCATGGTATTCGGACAGACAGACAGTGGGGTAAATATGCGATTAGCTCGACTACCACGAGGACCTACAGCCACGTTCAGGGTATCGGAATATGCATTACATACAGACGTACAAGCACAGCAAAAGCGGCCAAAATCGATAAGTACGGAGAATAGGCACGCAGCGTTGCTGATCCTGAACAATTTCTCGAAGGAGAAATTTCATCACAAACTGCTGTCGACACTATTCCAAAATATGTTCCCGGCATTAGATATACAAAGACTAAACTTAAACGATGTACAGAGGTGCGTGTTAGTTAATTACGTAGAGGAGACGAATACTTATGAATATAGGCATTACAGAGTAAGTGTGCAAGCGACGGGGGTATCACGATCGGTGAAGAAGATTATACAGTCACGCATACCGAATTTAGGTAAGTACATGCAATATGCTGTGTCCTGGAAATTACATTTGTGCTTCTCTTGCGTCATCGAGCTTGAGTGCAACGCACTGTATGATGGCAATGTAAATACATACCTTCGCAATTACAAGCAATTGTGTATTATATATATATATATATATATACACACACACACATATATATATATATAAGTATAAGCATATGTATAAGTATAAGTATAGGTATATGTTGAAGTATATGTAGATGTAGATATATATATATATATGTAGCTGTAGACGTAGCTGTGTATGTCTATGTTTATGTTTATAAATATATATATATATATATACTACACATACACATGTATATATATATATGTATATAAATATATATTTACACACACATACACACACACACAACACACGTATATATATATATCTATATATATATGTGTGTATTAATGTACGGATCTGTGTATCTGTCCTGTTTATGTATCTATCTATGTACATACACACACACACACATTTATATATATTTGTATCAATGTACCTACGTATCTGAGTATCTGAGTTTTTATATGTATCTATCTAGGTACATGCATACATACATACATATATACACACACACACACACTCGAATATATATATATATATATGAGTGTTAGTATTTATATATCTATATATACGTATGAATATTATGGACATATACATATATATATATATATACAAATGTATATAGGTATATATATATATATATATATTTATATTTTGTTTGTTTTTATTATTTCTATTTATAATTTTATATTTTCAATAAGTGTACGTGTGCATGTACATATTCGTGTACACACACATATATATACTTGTTTATATATATAATATAATATATATTTATATATATATATATATATATACGTACATGTTTGCGTATGTTTTTATATGAAGTTTATATCCTGTCAGATTCATTTCTTGTTTATATATCTGCAGTGCATATCCTAAAATTGGGTGATGATAGACGTTTATGTCTATTCGCATATTTATCCCCTTGTGCTGATTTATCAAGACATGACTAAGTATCGAATGGTCAAATTTACAATTATATTCTACGGTTATATTTCATACGTGCCTATGTATATATAATCCATTATGATATACATATGTAGCATACTTGAGAAGAAATATCACGAGGGATTTTTTCTACACGCAAAAATGGGTTGTTAGCATCGTTTTTCTATGCACGGGTAATTTTTTTATTACGAAGTTTTAGTGGAATAAGTTTTTATTGCTTTAACTTTAAATCTGACTTTGGTTGCTCATATACTATACAAGACTGAACTCGTATGGACTTACTATTACCGTGAATGTCGTTTGATTCGATATCGGAGTTACAATAGATGTTTATACATGTATGGAAAAGCATCACGCGTGAGCGCACACACACCGTCTTATATAGTTATGGAATTATTAGTGCAATTGTAGTCAACATCAATTTTTTTATACCACAGACATACGACGACTATGTATGTTATAGCACCTATGCAATGAGTACGCTTGGAGGGCTGAATGCGTTGCGCGTCTTACAAATACACGCACATGCCTAATAGCATCCAACTTGAGAAAGTCCTTCGTATTTGGTTGACACTTAATTTCTGATTTTTCTCATTGGCGAATTTAGCGTCTTAACATCTCTCGTTTGCTTCTTTATGTATGTCGTGTGCTAATCAAGTATTATAGATAAACAGACAACATGCAACACATTCCACACGCTTCCAGCTTTGATTCCTGACTATAGATGATCAATATATGTGCATCTGTTATATTTCCAATTGACCCTTAGTGCACACCCTATTATCATACCACAACCGCAGTCGACAAGACATCAAAGCTTAGTATGGTCTTACATATATACTCTTGTCGACATCAACATATCGTATTTTGCATCAAATTTATGGTTCAAATTTGTTTGATACCTCTGCATCAAATGTGTTATTATATCATGCCACCTCAAGTTTCCGGCGCAATACTTGACATCTTTCCCACTGCCTACTGCTGACTCTAGGAAGATTGAGCGATATATCTGAATTTGTAACGTCGCAAGTGGGATATGGAGCGGCATCGGACAGCGAGTTTGAAGACGAAGAGGCGAATGTTACGCTCCCACAGAACATGTCTGGTGTGGGCAATGTGCGAAACCACCAGTCAGCTATCAAGCTTGTGGAGGTAGGTTGCTTTATATTGTCATTGCGCTTGGTATGTAAGGTACTAAACGGAACGAGTTTCGGCGATAGGAAAGCCCTAGCTGGCAAAGTGCCGCGTAACTGACCTGTTATCAATGTGGGCAAGGAACTTGTCTTTTGGGTGGTTTGCAATTGTTTGCGTCTCGGTTGCTCACACATTTCATTGTGGTTCTTGTCATCAGCTTGGCCCGAGAATGAATCTGCAATTGATCAAGATACAGCAAGGATTCTGTGAGGGTGAGGTGGTACACCACGAGTTTATGAGCAAGACCCCTGAGGAAGCGGCAGCCATGAAGGCGAAGGTCAAGAAACAGAAGGAGCTCAAAATCAAGCGGAAAAAGGAGCAGGAGGCAAATGTCAAGCGAAAGGCGGACGAGAAGGCAGCACGCAAGCAGAAGAAGAAGGGTACGTGTCAACACGGGATGTATATCACTTCAATATCGCGGCTTAAAGATGCACGCTTGTTGCTTGCACTCGCCCGTGTGATAGTGTTGGTAGGCTGTTAACGCTACCTCCAAAGGTACAACTTGCTCTACAGGAGTGCTCATCGCATTGATTCAGCCAGTGGAACATCAATCGAAGCCAACATCACTGTTCCCTGTATCTCCTTGCACCAGATCCCCATGAACGCGCCATACACCTCATCGTACTTCATAACACTTCACGTCTCATATATGTCTTTTTAATTCATCAACATTTTTTCGTTCTGCACAGCTGCTGTGGAGGCAGGCGAGGAGGAAGCGGAGGGATCGGATTACCTGCAATCAGACAGCGACGACTCAGAGGTCGACGAAACCGAGTCTGCCAAGCCAACCGAAGAGAGTGCCATGTACGACGACGAGAAGGACGATGCTGATTACTACAGGGAGGCTGTGGGAGAAGAGCCGGCTGCCGGTATGTAGATCAGTTTAGTCCGTGTCGTGCCTTTCTGTGTGTGTGGGGTGGGGGGGGGGTTAAACGTTAATGTGGTATTTGTCTTCATGGTTGCTTTCACTTAAGTATTCTTTGAAGCATTCTGTATTGATTTTGTCAACGAATCACCTCGAGTGGGCATATGCATGATTTTCTCTCATCAACGGCATTTTCTATGCAAACCACCACAGATCTATTCCGTCGTAGAAAGTCAGAGGCCGAGCTTGAGGCCGAGAAGAGCGCCAAGACTGCTGGCACGAGGGGTGGTCGTGGTGGCAAAGGTGGCGACAGAGGCACGAAACGACCGCATGGCGCTGATAACAACGATGAGGACGATGATAGCAATCAGGACGGGGGTGAAGACGACGAGGATAAGAAGAGCACAAAGCGCGTGGACTACGGCAAGTCCACTACGTATGTGCAGAATAAGCGTGGGGGTGGCCCTGGACAGCCCTCTCGTGGCGGTAGCAGTAGAGGCAGAGGTGGTGCGAGAGGTAGAGGCGCTGGGAGAGGCAGGGGACGGGGTGGAAGCCGAGGAGGGTTTGTACGCCATGCTAAGAAATTGTAATAGACGGATTATGGTTCGTTTTAGAGGGGATGTGTGGGAAAGGGTGTTGTCTATGCCCATGAGTGAACCGCAATTAAGGCAACCAAACATCGATAATAGAGTATCGGCAACAATTGAAAGCGCTTTATTGCTATAAAGATAGATAGGAACAATTCCGCTCAGATCTAAATTTCGGACGATTGCCATTTAATTTAACCTTCAACTTGCGCTCAGTGTGATACTCGAGCATATTCTCTCTTATTTTGTTGTTGGCATTCAAACAATAAGACTATTAGTAACAAATCATGATAAGAGGAATGTAAGTATCTCACAATTATGATTCTCAATCAGCCACCAAACCTCCGATCATATTCTCTCTTGTTTTGTTGTTGGCATTCAAACAATAAGACTACCAGTAACTAATCATGTTAAGAGGAATGGAAGTATCTCATAAGTATAGTTCTCAATCAGCCACCAAACCTCCACTATCGTAACCATATCACTTAACTTATTCTAATTTAAGAACTTCACCTCCTTATCACTGCTGCAAATTCGAAACTGAAAAAGAAATATCAGACCATCGTTGAACTGTAGTGAATCCTACGCAATTTGCTTTGCAGTGCTCTCGATTATTATTCGTTCAATACCTCTATTGCACACTCGATACTGTGGGTTTTAAATCAGGTGCGCTATCGTTGACTGATAAGATACTGTCTCACCCCCGATTCTCCACACTTCCACCGTATCCCGAGAGGATTGAACAGAATCAAATAATCGGAGACGATCGACGTACATAGTCGCTCCGTAGTCCGAGCACAAGCGCCTGTGTATTCACATTTTTGTCTCCGGAGTTTGGTAGAATGTAGCGAGTGTGCATAGTTGTGGTTTGTATCCTGACCAGCAGGTAATCTTTGTCTTGGCCGGAATGGTGTATAGTGAATTCTCACCTCACATGTCAATCTATCAATGACACTTACTATAGAAGCTAAATATGCATCTGCGGAGAATATACTTGCGGTGCATTCTCCGCGTGAGACTTTTTTGTTTGTTTGACATTTCTCTATAATTTTGTGACGGTACGCTTGGTTGTCCTTGGTAACCGGGCACAAGAACACAAAATAACCTTCGGGTCTGAGTAAAGTTACATACACAATGATAGAGCGCGCAGATGTTGTAGGAACTACCCATCCCCCATACACTGCTGCACTCATATTTATCCTCAATTGACTTTCCTGTCTCTGTATATTTCAGTAATATCATCCTGCAATCAACCGCTCGCATTCGCCATTGATCCTCTCCTTCCATATTAGTCAATCAACGATTACGCAGATTGTCTCGGGGATTTTATAGTCAGTCGTTCGGCGATCAATGCAAACCCTTCTTATTGACACTGGCGTCCGCGCGCAAGTGGATGGAGTGATGTGATACAAGACATGTGTCGGATTCCCGGCCACAAAGAGCTAACATGATATGCGTAAATACAAAGGTTACAGTGTGTGCGTAGATTGTGGACATGTTTCGCGATTTAACTGTTCACGCGCTCACTTTTGCAGAACAATGGACAACATACAACTGACAAGTAAAGGTAAAGATATCTGACTAGTGAAGATGAAGGTGATACTACCTGGTACAAACTACACAACAGGTATAAAATGTGCAGCAACAACACAATGTCAGTTTGTCTCCCCTTCAGAGTCCGCTTTAATTTGCATCAGGTAAACAATATACGAGACTGTGTGTGGGTGTGTGAAAGTGTTTGTGTGTGTGTGTGTCCGTTTTTGTGTATATATACATAAATATGTAAATATACAATAATGACATTCTCACTGCAACGCAGTCCTTACCGTCGACCCTCTGTGCCGTATACAATTTATAATTTATGTAAGTACTAGGTAGAGTGACGCCACGGATCGAAATTTGCAGAAATTACATATTCCATTATGCGTACACCACCAACGACTATCGTCTGAAGCCACAAGTGCCCGGAGACGCATTCGTAATTCGATCGTGGTATTGTTACATATTGCTGTACGCCGAGTGATGAACGTACATTGGCCAAAGACTACAAATCTTCTCCCCCCCCCCCCGAACCGATGAAACTCAGGGTTATCTGTGGCGAAACGGATGTCGCTTGATTTTGGTGCAAACCATCGCAATTCACTGGGAAGCCGGACGTAAATTTGCTCCACGCACATTTTTTTTTTGGCAGGAGTATTCATCGACAGTGTCCATGGAAGCCGTCTTCGGTACATAGTATATTCGGCGGCGTTCTTATTGGAAGGATCGCGTTCAATCGTTAAGCCGAATTCATCGGCCATCAGAAATGGTCATCTCATCATCTTAGTGCTTCTGGATTCTTATCTTACCCCCGGCATTAAATTCACTCAAAGCTCAATTAAGAGTCAAGTCGTTTCTGTTTTTTTAGCGGGCGTCATGAAGTTCTGCAATCGCTCACCAATACGATCTGTATCGAGATTGGTGGGGAGACCTACTAACTATTCACTATTCTATAGTACTTGACTGGCATTCTCCTGATACCTGGCCTTTCTACCTTGAGCTATACTGCCTCATTCAGTCATCACCTCTTCGTGAACATTCAACTGCAATTCGCCTTTCCGCACATTCGGTGCATCATCTTCTGCCACAGTCGGTTCGCAATACATTCGTGTTTAATCTGCCTTTTCCTTTGTGCTATTATTTTCTGACTCAACCTCAGACATTCACTGATGCATCGTCAATTACGGTGTCGTCTGCAGCAGTTGGCCCAGAGCTGTCCTTTTCAACGTGTCCATCTGTACTGTTACTAGCACCTTCCTAGAGGCTTTCCTCCGAATCTACAGCTGAGCTGTTCTTCTCCACTTGTTTATCCGCGCAGTCAAAATCAGCATCTGCATCCTTGGTACATTCCGCAGACTCTTCAACCTTGCTTTCAGTATGGACAGGCTCATCAATTGTGTCATCACTGGCATGTAGATGTTGAGTAGTTTCTTCAGCATCTTCGACTGAGCCGATATTCACAGCACACTCAACCTCAGTGGCTCCATCGACGCTCACGGCCTCTGTATTTTGAGCAATGCTGTCTTTTGCTGAATCTTCACAACCTAGACCACCAACAGTGTCCGTTGTTACGCCGGTTTTCTCTGTATTTCCGTTTTCTGTAATACTTGAAGCATCGGTGGGCTTTACATCACCAGCAGCTTCTTCAGATATCAAAGTATCAGCAGCATCCGTCTTTGCGGACTCGTCCTGAGCACCATCGGGGTTCACGTCGTCTTGAGCAGCATCAACTGGTATCAAAGCATTGACACTGACCTCTAATTGTGCCTCGGCTTGAAGAGCATCAAAATTCATCTCTTTTGTGTTATTATTGGGTATAGAAGTATTCTCACTCACCTCGACTTGTGCGGCATCCATAGCATCCTCGAGCCCGGCAGCCTCCCCAGTGTCTGTGACTTTGGTACTCGTTTCAATGCCACAAAGGCGAGACTGCTCATCAGCATCTGCGGAATCAGGTTTGCCTACACGACCTTCTTGTATGAGATCCTTCTTAGCATTCTTGTTCTTCATTTCATCTGTATTATTTTCTTGTTTACTGCTATCCACCTCGAATTCATCGGGGACTCCAGCTTTATCTAAGGTTTCCGTATGTACTGTGGCATTCTTTGTCACCTCAACCTCGGTGTCCTGCGCTACTTCCTTATACATCGAGTAGTCCCCTGCTACTTTACATGTGTCGGTATCAGCCGCGCCTATATGTACAGATTCCACTACATCTTTGTGTTCAGTGTCAGCTACAGCATCCCCGAGCACGATGTCACCCTCAGCGTCTTCAACTACACTATTCTCTACTGTATCTTTTAATGTCGAGTGGTCGTCTGCATCGACAGATTTCTTGGTTTCTGCTACATCCATGTCAGTTGCAACACCGTGTTCGTTTTCAGCCGCTTTGAGTTTGGTGGATTCTGCACCATCTTCAGGTAAACGGTCACCTCCAGGAGGATCAGAGAATGAATCATTTGATTCATCACTCGCCCCACTTGGGCCTTCAGAATTCTTCGTCACACCCGTATCGTTCTTAGTTTTGTGCCTTATATCGTCTCCGTCAATCTCCTCCACAATCTCATCCTTCGTGATCTGTGTGATTTCCTTGTCCTTTTGAGTCTGCTTGTACTGGTCCTGTTCTTTCTGCCGCTTTCTTTCCCTAGCTGCCAGCGCATTCTGTCTGTTCTCAGCCATTCGCTTGAGCAGTGTGGGAGATAAGAGGGCGGCGGTCTTCTTGGTGAGTGGTATGGCCGACGAACGGGCCGACTCTGCGGTGGTGGCTGTGGTTGATCCTCTCATGCTGTCGAACTAGTCAAGTGGCATAATTAAGGAGTTGACTTAATAGGAAGGTTACTTACTACTAGATGCTAGACATGCGAGAGCCTGTACATCTACTTCTTTAAACACGCAAGCAACGACCGTATCGAGCTGTTCAGAAACAGATTGGATTAAAGCATAGCAATACACATGAAAGAAATGCGATCCACGACTTACAACTGCATCCATATTTTCGTCATCGGATGCTTCTCGCCTCCTGCGTTCGTCTTCAGCCACAGCTTGTTCCAGCGCTGCTGCTTCTTCATCGTCTAATGTCTCGTACGAGCCCTCGTCCGGTCGCCTATAAGACAAATGTCAAATATGCACAGGCTTAGTGTTGCAGGAGTATGCTGCTCTAACACAGGGTCACTCTTTATTGTGGTCCTACGACTACTTGTTAGTACCTTAAAATTTCTTTCTTACGCTAATAGAATTAATATAAGAGGGTGAGACGATGAGTTTACTTCGATAATATTCCGCATGTACAATCAAGGAGTCAATGCTGCAAGCAATGTGAAGCCACATAAGATGACACAGATGACGATAACGGTCAAAGCATGTACAAGCGTACACAAATAATGCTAGTAACGGGTCTATGAAGTACATCACGCATGACATAGAGCACAGCACAACAAACGGATACCGCCAATTCGTTGAGGGCCTACGACTTACTTTGACATGGCCTCCTCTTTCATGACGGAGATAAAGTGCTGCTCGGAGAAAAAATCAAAAGGAGAACGAAAAGGCGATTGTAAGTACCGCCGCCATCGAGCATTGAGTTCCGACTTCCGTCTTCATTAAAGCAGCCCAGCATATCGAGAATGTCGACACACGGTGGAAATGCGCCTTGCGCGATATGTGCTCTTTACTCAAAATAAAGGCTGTCCTAACCAAAATGGCAACGCCTCACATAAATTGGCCATATTGAACGACCTGATCCGAATAAACTCTTGTGAACGCACATGAAACGTTTATCCTCCCATACATACCCTGATGACTCCAGTTCCTTTCCGGCTGATTTGCGCAGTGAAGTCGTCGAAGTGCAGTCCAGGCATTAAGCGGTGGGCCCACATTTCATAGGCCAGAATAAGTCGCCGCAGGTCGTAGCTCTGAAGGGCGAACACGCATGAGACAAAGGCATACATACGTACGTGTCTACACTGTGTGTTCTGAATTGTATATACCACCCATGCCCAATCACATATGGTTGTTCGTATGAAATTGTGCTATAGATATATTTACTGCGGATTTATGGCTACGTAAGCATAGCATAGTGAATACAGTGAGCAAGATGAACGTAAATATGTACTATTCAGGTATAAGTTTTGAAGTTGTACATACGTCAGAAAAGATACCCAAAAATTGAACTACCGATCTCATGCCGTACCTGAACAGGAACCGCGATAATAAGAGATATACAAGAGTGTATACCATAACAAAATTCAGCAAGTCGAACGACATACACACTCAGCAAATAGGGAATGTACATCGTTCTTACCTCATATCCTTTTCCCTTGAACTTGACAGATTTGAGCACGCTATGTAGAAGTGGCAAACCGTTCTCTCCGAGAATCCTGTGAAATCAATATTTTTGTTTTTATAAAGACATACAAAAGCATTCACGATCTCGACCAATTTTGAAGGGCCGATCCTGTCGAACGAACGACAGTAAGGCTATTTAACGCTCATTTTCGGATTTGCACAAGGAAGGCTCATGATTAGCAACACTTTGGACCAAATCGAACATTGTATCTCCTTTCCGTGCGGGGGACGTTGCTTGCAATTATTGCATAGAAAGATAGCAGAACCATACGACTAAACCAAACATACAGATCTTCGGTCATCTTGACACGCTTCGCCGCTGGTTTCTTCTTCTTCACAGCAGCTGGATGAAAACAAGGGAAAAAGGAAATTTTATGAATTAGATTAGCACTACCGTGAACTTTTAGCGGTAATAAGGTGGTCGGATTCTACACATGCCGACATTCACCACCTTCATCTGCGCCGCCAAATGACCTTTTTTAAAGGGCAGTTCGCTAAGAGAGCTTGCACTGACCGCTGTGGCCAGGAACTCCTAAATTAGCATACCTCGACGAGAGAAATTGATGCGATATATGTATGTATAATCAAGCTTTCGGATGCGATGAGAAAGTCGACATATCACCAGACGGCGACAGAATCGCCGTCTGGAGGATATACCATGCAAAATAATACTAATAATGCTTCACCAGACCTGATCATGAGGACCTAATTACGTCTCTGGGCTTTTGCGAGCACGTAACTTATTTTACGTAAATTTCGATCAGACCACATGCATCGAAGTCTGTACAATACCTTCCGCATTTGCATCGCCATCGCCCTCAGTCTGCGCAGCGTCCATGGCATCAAGTTCCTCATCTGCCACGAAGTCGAACTCGTCTAAATCCATGTCTAGAGCATCGGCATCACGCTTCTGGCTGGTTCCATTGGCATTAGTCTGGATTTGTATTATGCCACATCAATCATTAGTGAAGCTACATACACTGCTATCCAAGTGTTGTATGGTGTCTACCGCATATGATCCTATCACACAACAGAAATGAAACAAGCCATCAGCAGCCGTGTATACCGATTGCCGTTTTACAAATCTTTACATCGACGCCACAGACAGCAGCAAATGGACTAGCATTTGGCAAGCACGTCCCCGACACAGTGAGAGACAAGTATTTCTGCACTCGTATATCATACATTCATTCAGCGGAATAACAGGGAAGAGAACGTCTTTTAGGAACATGTTTGGGATTGAACACAGAAAACGAATCGTAGACAAAAAAATAGAATTGAAATATAAAAAGACTCCATGAAAAAAATGGAATAGTAATAAGGATCAAATTCATGACAAACAACAGAATAGCAACTGGTACATACAGAGCTTGACGGCCCAGCATCATTGCCACCCAAATCTTCACCAAGCAATTCTGTAGGAAATTCAGCATCATCGTCACTGTCGAAGAAAGCGGCAGAGTGAATATCCGTCACGTGTGATTGTCCATCGGAACCCAGCATCTGAAATAGCACGGGAGTAATCGATGTTCTCGTCATTAGGCTATGATATGTATCTCATCCTACGACAAGCACTAGTGGATTGCATATATTTTGCATACCGACAGCATTCTTCACAATAGTCTTATAATTTCGTCCGTTCGAGGCAGCTAATATGGTCTGAATGGTGTGACGACGAGTACAGTACTGTACAAACAGGCTTAAATCCCAGTTTTTCAAGAAATGTGATTTGAGCTGACTGGTTCTAATACACGCTCGTAGTATACTTTTTAAGCCGTAAATATATATATATATATATATATATATATAATATACTATATACTATATACATATATATATATATATATATATATATATATATATATATATATATATAT